GAAGTGACTAGGAGAAAGCTTCAGAAGGAAGGAGGCGGTGAAGGGGTGAGTCAGGTGGTGAGAGAGGGCACAGAGGCCAGACAGAGAGAACTGGGTGCCACCCAGGACTGAGATTTGGAATAGAATCTGCAAGGGAAAAAGAGGTCAGGGTTTGAGAGTTGGGGTGCCCAGGACGAGGCAACAAACCAGAGGGCCAACAGGGTGGACAGGGTGGGCCTGGCCTTGCCTTGCTCTGCAGTAGGGTGGCCCAAGGCGCTGTCGGTGGCCTGTAGGTCTGCCTACACACACCCCCACACACACAGGCTGGGGTTGCTGTGCCCCAAGGCACACTAGGGCTGCTGCAGCTTCTCACTGGGGAACCTCTCCACCTCTGAGCCAGAGATCATGGCCTACTCTCTTATTGGTCCAGGCCAGCCGTGGGCAAACTACGGCCCGCGGGCCGGATCCGGCCCGTTTGAAATGAATAAAACTAAAACAAAAAAAAAGACCGTACCCTTTTATGTAATGATGTTTACTTTGAATTTATATTAGTTCACACAAACACTCCATCCATGCTTTTGTTCCGGCCCTCCGGTCCAGTTTAAGAACCCATTGTGGCCCTCGAGTCAAAAAGTTTGCCCACCCCTGGTCCAGGCCATGCCTGTGTGTGTGTGTGTGTGTGTGTGTATGTGTTTAATCCTCATCAGAGGATATTTTCTCCAGTGATTGATTTTTAATTTATTTTTTTTTATTAAATCTTTATTGTTCAGATTACATTTGTTCCTCTTTTTTTTCCCCCCCATAACTCCCCTCCTCCCAGTTCCCGCCCCGCCCTTGACCGGAATCAAACCTGGGATCCTTCAGTCCGCAGGCCGACGCTCTATCCACTGAGCCAAACCGGTTTCGGCCAGTGATTTTTTTTTAAGAGAGAGCAGAAGGGAGCAAGGGGGAGAGAGAAACAGTGATTGGTTGCCTTTGACACACACCCCGACTGTGGGACTAGGGATTGAACCTTCAACCCAGGTACGTGCTCTTGACCAGGAATGGAATGTGAGACCCTTAGGTGTGCAGGCCGACGCTGTAACCACGGAACGTGAGACCCTTAGGTGTGCAGGCCGACGCTGTAACCACTGAGAACGATGGCCAGGGCAGGCCATGCCCACAGCTTTTCGCTCTTCTGCTCTTTATGAGCCTATTCCCCCCCCACCTCCCCCGGAGACCCAGAGCCCCTGGGCTGTAGTAGCCAGACCAGCATGCACTGCGTGTAGGGGACAAGGTGAGTCTCCCCCTCCACCCATGTTGCTGCTGCCTCCTTGGCTCCTGCGTGGGCTGAGCTCCACACCACACCACCAGCCTTCCTCACTGCACTCCTTCAACGCCTATTCATCCTCAGTCACCTGCCCCTCAGCCTCCCACAGGGGACCTACCTGCTCATCTGCAATGGACGAGTCTCCAGCAATTCTTAAGGGAAGGACACACCAGCTGTGGCCCCAAAACTGCATGTTCCTGTCTGCAGTCCAGCTCCTGTGTTGCCCACTGTCCTTAGCACACAATCTAACCCACCCCCAGACTTTGCCCACATTCAGCCATCCAGTGGGCAGTCTGACGTTGCCCTTCTCACCAGCACCACTAACAACCTGAGCCTCTTTGTCTGGCCTCAGGTCTTTCCATCCCTAGAGGGCAAACCTTGGATGAAGTTTGCTACCCTGACCCCTGTGAGACCGTCCCCACAGCCTCAGTTCCTTGTATCCCTACAGCTGGTTTGCACATTAAGGACCACATATTGATTCCATTTATATGAAATGTCCCAAAATAGAGACAAAGTGGTTTAGTGGTTTCCTAGAGCTGGGGGGACTGGGAAGAAATGGGAAGTGACTACTAGAGTGTATGGGGTTTCTTTTGGGGTTGTCGAAAATGCTACAAAATTGTGATGGCTGCATGATTCTGTGACTATACTAAAACCATTGTATTGTACATTTTATTTTTTAACATATTTTTTATTGATTTCAGAGAGGAAGGGAAAGAGAGATAGAGATAGGTAGAGAGAGAGAGAGAGATAGATAGATAGATATCAATGATGAGAATCATTGATTGGCTGCCTCCTGCATGTCCTACACGGGATGGAGCCCACAACCCGGGCATGTACCCTGACCAGGAATCGAACCATGACCTTCTGGTTCACAGTTGATGCTCAACTACTGAGCCACACTGGCCAGGCAAATTGTACATTTTAAATAGGTAAAGTATATGGTATATATGAATTCTATCTCAATAAATCTGTTACCAATGGGGAAGAAAAACACAGAACAAAAGAAAACCCCACCTAAACAAATCCATAGCTGAAGTTCAGAGCTGTCCATTGTCTCCTCTGCACTCTTGAAGGGAAAAGTCGAAGTTTGAAGGCTTAGGGGCCAGTCCAGCCTGAAGTGGACATACGTTTTCTTGACCACCCTTCATCTGAACCCCCTTCTCATGCTGGAAACTCCCCACCATAAATCTAGATAGAAGATAGAGTCCACCTCCCACCATATAAAAGACCAGATACTTGCTTTCCCAGCATCCCCGTGCAGCCATGTGACCAAGGCTTGGCTAATCCGATGCCTCTGCTGCGAATTGCTCTATCTAGAGCAAAGCAGGAGGGAAAGTGGGGAGTACCCTAGGTGGCTGCAATGACATCTTCACATCAGCACTCTGGTCCCAAGGTAAAACTTGGAGTGCTTTTAACTGCTCAGAACCCCCTCTGCAGCCCACACACACTTTTTTGAGCTCCTCTCCAACCTTCTCAGTGTTTCTATGAGCCTAATAGTTAAATGGCCTTTTTCTGCTTTTATCAGCAAGAAGCTGTTCTTTGGCTTTAAAGTAGTATTGACACGTGTCATCCGGGACTCTGTAGCACTAGATCCCTCACTCCCTCAGGGCAAGGCAAGCTATCCTGACAGCTACAGCCCTCGGCTTCCACCCAGTGGGAGTGGAGCATCGTAAGCTTCATCTTATATTTCTGTCATCAGAACAGCTTTCACCTCATCCCAGAAGCATCTCGCAATAGACGTCCTAGTTTCTAATTCTGTCTCTCTCCCTTTTCTTTATAGCTGTTTTTTTTTCTTTCTAATGTCTTACTAATTTCTTATGATTTAATATTTGGTTAGTATTTCTAATGTCTTACTAATTTCTTATGATTTAATATTTTTTTCAATCCTGCTTGGAATTTCCTGATTGTTAGCGTTTATAAACTTCAATTCTAGAAAATTCTCAGACTCTTTATTCACTCCTTCTGGAACTCTGGTTATGTCACATCTTCTCACTCCATCTCCAGTGGTTTTCCAACCTCTTTGCCTTAGTTTCCATTTCTTTGTATCCCTGGGCTCCAGCTGTGTAACTTTCTCAGATCTACTTCAGGTTCATTCTCCTTTTAGGTGTCTAACTTGCTGCTTAACCATTAAGTTTCTCAATTCATATAGCGTATTTTTCTGTAGGGAGCGGATATAGGTCTTGGATTGACCTATGGCAGGGCCACAAACAAGTTTCAGCTTGGAGGGCAGAGCTCTCCCAGCATAATTAAGCTTGACCTTATAGTCCTCCCTAGTTCCTTCCTAGGTAGCTAATGGGCTGTGGGAGGTGCAGCAAATGCTACGAAAACAAGGTGAAACTCACAAGAATATTGTAAACATGTTGACCACTTCCCTTGTTTTGCTTTGTGGACTGACTATAAAATAAAGCTTCGGCTTGCAGGCCGTGGAGCTGTCTCTCCATCAGAGAAGCAGCATCCCATGCCCCAGCTGTATTTTTTTAAAATATATTTTATTGATTTTTTACAGAGAGGAAGGGAGAGGGATAGTTAGAAACATCCATCAGCTGCCTCCTGCAAACTCCCTACTGGAGATGTGCCTGCAACCAAGGTACATGCCCTTGATCAGAATTGAACCTGGGACCCTTCAGTCCGCAGGCCGACGCTCTATCCACTGAGCCAAACCGGTTAGGGCCCAGCTGTATTCTCTTGTCTGTCTTCAATCCTTCACCGCCCCTCCTCAGGCTCACCGAACCTGCCTGTGCTGGACGCAGCACATTTTTCATTTTGAAGTTTTACTTTAATCAAACTAATTTGGTCCTTTCTTAGTCTTTTCATTAGTCATGCTTTTTCTTTAAACATTTAAAGACATTTTACATTTTGTATTTTTTACTTTCAACTTCTGTCTTTGCTGTTCAGATTCTGTTACCTATTGTTCCTAATGTTCCCTCTTGCTGGTGGTGGTTTCTTTCCTTGTGTGCTGGTGTTTCATTGTGAACACACAGTCCTTGAGATTTTATGTGAAGGAATTCCTGCAGGCCTGGGTTTCCAGTACAGTCCTAAGAGAGAACTGCATTTGCTCCTGCTGGGTGCCTGGAGGCACTACCAACCCCAGACTACTCTGAATGACCAGTTCAAGATTTTTCCAGCCCAAATGTGTAGTATGAATTCTAGACCCAAACAGTATTGGGAGCCAGTTGTGCTGACATTACTGGGAATGCAATTTTTGTCCCCATCTCCTACCTCCCCTTGCATCCAAAACAAAAGCTAAGTAGGCGAGTTGTGGGATTGGTTCACTCTCGGATCTGCTTTTGGGGCTCTGATCTGACTTTTCACTTTGTAGGAGCCTTAGATTTTGGCCCCTAAGACAGTAATTTTAGCCACCGCCCCCCCCCACCCCACACACACACAAAGCAGATGAGCGACAAGAATGTTTATTAACTGGCTTCTACATAAAGTCCCAGTCCTGGAAGCCGTCAACAGACTCCATGGCCTTCACTAACCTAAGGTCACTGACCCTTTTTTTCCTCTGTCAGAATTACTGATTTCACAGGGGTTGGGAATGTTCAGCCTGCGGGCCATATAAGGCCCATGGCATCACTTGGTCTGGCCCTGCCAAGGCATTAGGGGTGAGTTAATTAAATGTTTGATCAAATATGGCCGCTAATTTTTAAACTGATAATATTGTATGGCCCATGAATGATGTTATAAATATACAAATGGCCCTTGGCAGAAAAAAGGTTCTCATCCCTGGTTTAAGGCAAGGATGGGAGGACACGAGTACATGATGAACCAGATCCAAGCAGAGGAGTGTGGCATGGCGAAGGCTGAGCTGTTCCTGTCCATCCCTGGGGCAGCCCAAGAACCCTTTAGTCACTGCTGAGCCAATCTAGTTCAAGGGCAGCTGTGATCCTTGTCCTTGAAGGGGAAAGACCCAGAATAGGCCAAGCCCCAGGCTGTCCCCACAGACCCAGTTCTCACTGGGGCAGTGGCAGAGCTGAGGTCAGTTCCTATTAGTCCTTATTCAAAGGGAGATGTCGCCTGTCTTTGCCTGCGTTTCGGCGCCTTTTTCGACTCAAGAAGCTGTCTAGCTTCTTGCTGCGTTTCAGCTCCTTGAACTTCTCAGCTAGGACCAGCTGGCGCTGTTCAGCTAGAGGATCGGGAGAAAGCAAGCTGGTAAGCAAAAGCAGAAGCACCACCCTCTCCCTGTTCCCCAGCCAATAATTCTCAACCACTGTGCTGGGAAACATGACTTAAGAGTTCATGGTGTGTGCAAGCAGGCTGTCTTTTTCTATGATTCCTTCTTTCACAACTCAACTACTGTGAGCTTCTATGTGCCCAGTCCAGCATATGTGAGGAGTACAACAGAGATAAAAGTGACACCCTGCCCTGGCCACGTAGCTCAGGTGGTTACATGGTCATTCAGATATGCCAAGGTTGTGGGTTTGATCCCCGGTAAGGGCACATACAAGAAACAAGCAATGAATGCATAAATAAATGGAACAACAAATTAATGTTTTTCTCCTCCCAGTCCTCTCTCTCTGAAAAATTAAAAAACAAACAAGCAAAAAACCATACGGTGTCATACCATTAAAAATAAAATAAATAAAAGCAACACCCTCTGCCGATAATCTAATTAGGGAAATAAGAATGGGCACCTCCTCCCCACAGTATTTCTACTCTCCTCCTAATTTACCATGGGATCCAGCATTCATGCCTCCTTTAGGGCCTGCGACCCCCCACCCCTGTACCTAGCCTGTAACCGCTGTGCCCACTCACATTTCTTCAGGAAGTACGGACGATGGCCCTGCTGGGCCTGCGCCCGCCGCTCCTGCTTCAGAGCCAGGCGCAGCTCCTGCTGCCGCTTCCGTTCCTGCTGTGCCATTTCTTGCTGCTCCTGAGGAGCAAAGATGAGATGGGTGTGAGGGACTGTGATTTACCCCCTGCCTTGAACTACTTTCACCCCCACCCACGATCTGACTCACTCACCATTCGCTGAAGCAGCTGCTGCAGCTTCTCATGCTTCTCCCCTGAACGGTGCTTCTTCAACTGCTTTTTCACAAGCTCCACAGTGGGAAATGATGTGATGGTTAGCATGCTGAAAATGTTAGCTGCAATTCTGTGCCAGGCATTACTCTAAAACAGTGGTTCTCAACCTTCTGGCCCTTTAAATACAGTTCCTCATGTTGTGACCCAACCATAAAATTATTTTCGTTGCTACTTCATAACTGTCATGTTGCTACTGTTATGAATCGTAATGTAAATATCTGATATGCAGGATGGTCTTGGCGACCCCTGTGAGTTCGACCGCCAAAGGGGTCTCGACCCACAGGTTGAGAACCGCTGCTCTAAGAGGTTCGCATGTTAACTCAGTAACACTATGAGATAGGAGCTATTAGTTCTTTTTATGATTAGAAAACTGAAGCAAAGCCAAGTTGAATAACGTGCGAATGGTAAGCTAGTAAACTGATGAGCCAGGATTTGAATATAAGCACCTAATTAGGGAGAATTAAATCTGCCCATCGCTACGCTCCCAGTTCCCTCTGCCTGACTCTAACCTGTGCCCTAGTTTCCCAACCCCGGACACCAGTGACCCAGCCGCATGCAGCACACCTCTTTCTCTTTGGCTCGGATGTCGTTCAGGAATTGATAGGTTTTGTCAAACACTTCAGGATTATATTCCCCTGACAAATCGTCAAAGCGGGGGTCCCGGGCTACCTTTGGAGAGAACGGAGAGAATATGAAAATACAGTTCAGTCTCCTTTCACAAGAAAGCACTTCCTGCCTCTTTCTCACCTTCTTACTGATGGGGACAACTTGACGCAAAAATGGCACCCGGACCTTGGCTGACATTTCCAGAGGCCTATGGAGAAATTACAGGACAGGTCCAGGGGACTCCAGTCTTGGCCAAAGGCCTCCCCTCTGCCACCTAAGACAGCAGACACCGACTCAGGTCCCAGACATCCTCCAACTCCTGGGGCAGGCCTTGCTCCTCACCTGTGCTTATCTGCAACACAGGCATTTTGGACAGGGGGTCTAGAGCCTTGCTTCTTAGTGCTGCTTCCAGCTACCAATTGTTTGTATGTCTTGGTCCCCACCTGGCTCTGCAATTCCAACAGCTCCTCAAAGGACATGTGAGATGTGTCTGCAGAAGGAGGTGAAGATAGGGGACACACACAATTGAGCTCAGCATTTCCCGCTGCTGGAAAGACATCATTCCATTCTCATTCTTAAGGTAACTGATCCTTTCCAATACCCCATCCAACCAATCCCTACAGGTCCTGGCAGCACAGGCTGTCATGGTGCTGTCATCTAAGTTCCCAACGGTTCCAGCTACCTTGGGGCCTCACCTTGCTAAGGAAGGTGTATATGTAAGGCCAGTGGTGGACCAAGTCACAGTCCCTTCCTTTTCACCCTTTTAAATTATTCCTTCACAGGTTTCCCCAGAAGGGCCTGTCTCCCTTGCCCAGTTACTGTTGCCAATGTTCCGGTTCATCCTCTCAGGCTGTCATCTAAGTTCCCAACGGTTCCAGCTACCTTGGGGCCTCACCTTGCTAAGGAAGGTGTATATGTAAGGCCAGTGGTGGACCAAGTCACAGTCCCTTCCTTTTCACCCTTTTAAATTATTCCTTCACAGGTTTCCCCAGAAGGGCCTGTCTCCCTTGCCCAGTTACTGTTGCCAATGTTCCGGTTCATCCTCTCAGCACCTCACCTGAATCTGTGCTCTAGTCTCCTAACTGGTCTCCCAACCTCCAGTCTTACTCCTCTCAAAGATATGCTCCCCACTTCAGTTTGAGAGAGACATCTAAAATGTAACTCTGGCCCTGGCCGGTTTGGCTCAGTGGATAGAGCGTTGGCCTTCAGACTGAAGGGTCCTGGGTTCAGTTCCGGCCAAGGGCACGTGCTAGGGTTGCGGGCTCGATCCCCAGTGGGGGGCATGCGGGAGGCAGCTGATCAATGATTCTCTCTCATCATTGATGTTTCTATCTCTCTCCCTTTCCCTTCCTCTCTGAAATCAATAAAGAAATATATTTAAAAAAAACAAAAAATAAATAAAATGTAACTCTGCTCTTATTACTCCAACCTCATTACCTACTCCCACATAGATAGACTTCAGATCACGTCAGTTCAGAACTCAAAACTCCCCAATGCCTCCCATCTTTGCTCAGCGTCAAGGTGGCTGGAAGCCCCAGGAGACCTAGCCCCCAGGTTGCATCTAATCTCATTTCCTACCAATCTCTTCCTTCCACTCCTCTCGTCAACTGGCCTCCTAGCAGTCCCTGAGCAGGAAGGTGTTCTCTGCACTTGATGCTGCCCCTGCTTGGAGCACTTTCTTCAGATACATTTATTACTTCTCCGGCACCTCCTTCAACCACGTTCAAATGTCACCTACTCAGTGAGGCCTCCTCTGACTACTTACAATTGCAACCCCTCCCCTGCTTTCTCTCCATAACCTTGTCACCTTCTTGGAAAACTGAGATATAATTCATATGCCATAAAATTCACCCTTTTACAATATACAATTCTGCTTTGCTGCCTTTTAATAGATTAATTCACGTGTCCTTTTTTTTTAACAGCCCTTTCTAAATGGTAAGTTCCACGAGGACAGTTTTGGGCTGCTTTATTCACTATTGCATCTCCAGCATCTAGAACTGTGCGTGCATACAGATACTCAATAAATGTTTGCCAAATTTCTTTATATCTATCTATCTATCTATCTATCTATATCTATATCTACATAAATTGATTTCAGAGAGGAAGGGAGAAGGAGCGAGAGATAGAAACAAATGATGAGAATCATTGATCGGCGGCCTCCTGCACGCCCCCTACTAGGAGGGGAGCCGGCAACCAGGCACCTGCCCTTGACTGGAATCGAACCGGGACCCTTCAGTCCGCAGGCCGACGCTGTCCCCTGAGCCAAACCCGCCGGGGCTGCCCAATCTCCTTAATCCTGACCTACTGAACCCTTCCCCAGCCCCCAGCCCTGGCCTCGGCGCGCTCCCACAGGCGTCTCAGCCCCGGGGAAATCTCCATCCTCCCTAAGAAACTGCTCAGGATGTCCCAGCCCAGGAAGCACCCCCTCCCCACTTCCCACGGCGCCGCGGGCGCTCCGCGCTGGCCTTTGGAGAACTTCGCAGGCTCTCGGGA